AAAAGAGGGAAAATCGTTATAGAATAATCAAGCCGTCGCGCGTTCGCCCGCTTTCGGCCGCCGCCGTTGTCGGGGAGACACACGCGGCTTCTTCTCGATCGCGTATCGCCGTCGTCGTCGTCGTCGTCGTCGTCGCCGCCGTCGCCGTCGTCGCTGCTCCTCGCGATCGAGGATGCTCCGTCGTTATCCGAGTACATGAAGACGCCGCTTACGCGGGCTGACTTAGCCGCGTCGCTGCTCCGTGAAAAGAAGAGAAAGAAAAAGAAATAAATCGTCGATAGTTCTCAACGTGAAGACCGCGTGCCTGCCGTTTACTATCCGCGAGGATCGGCCAAAACGAAAAAAGTCTTCCAGCGGTGGAACGAGAAGAAAAATCGTCTCCCCTCTTCATCCCTCTCAACAGCACATCGTTCTCCTCTTTTTTTTCTTTTCGCATTATTTCTCGTCTCCGCTTTTCTCTCTTCCGTTCGGCTTTTTCCTTTACGTTTTCTTCGTTCTCTCTTCCCTTCGTTTTCTCGTCTCTTTTTGAAAAATGGGTACGGCGGCACGCGATCTCGAGCAGCAGCAGCAGCAGCAGCGCGATCGGCAAGCGGACCGGCCCGTGGCGCAGTGCCGGATCTGTGCGATCGACATCACCACTGACGACGACGGGATGCACATTTTCGCCGAGGACGGCCGGCGTCATTATCTGCAGACCAAAATACGGAAATATCTGCACGTCCTGGTAAGTGAAAACGCGCGAGGCGCGTTTTCGCGCGTATCTCGCGCGACGGTCGTTTTTTTCCCTCTCCCTCTGTGTCTCTTTTTTCTCTCATATGTGTATATATCTCTCTCCATCTGTTTTTTTTTTCTTTCAAAATTTGTCTCTACGCGGCGTGTGTCGTGATCACGTGCCGGTCGCAATTCCGTCGTCGGTGGCTCTCAAATTTTCGAAATTCGGCGTCGCTGGACGTTCGCCGATCGCGAGACGATCGGCTCGATTTCCGAGGCGGCGACTTCGAGATCACCTTGCGCGATCGTTCCGCTTACCGATCTCTCGCGATCACAACGATTTTGGATTCTTCGAGATCGAACGCGATCGCGAACATTCGTGATAAATCACATGATCGTTCTAAATTCGGTTTTTTTTTCTCTTTTTTGTTTTCGCGAACAGACCGATGTTCATCGATGAATCGCGAAGTCGAAATTGAAACTCGTTCATCTAAATATAACGGCGACATTTTCGTGCGGTCCAGATGCTTAAGAGCGCCGTTACGCCTCGCGGAAAAATCTCTGGCCGAAAATTAATCGCGTCGTATTGTTTAATGAGCCGCGAAAATGTCAGCGATCTTGTCGGAACATCGACAGCGTGACGATCACGGGCAATCGCTATGTGCGAGAAAATTGTACATCCGTGTCGAGCGCGACCATTTTGTGCGGGGCAACAAAAGTGTTAAAAATTAGCATTTTATTGATTGCAATAAGTATACCCGTGCTTCGCGCGCGCGTGTGTGTGTGTGTGTATATGCATGTATATATAAGCGCGCGCTATATATAAGTTCGACTACATTTATAAATACAATCGGAAATGAGGACCGTCCGCGGAGGAGCGACATCGGGAAATGACGTAGCGCGGAATAAATCCCGCCGATCTCGAGAGAGGATTGCGGGATAACCTATCTTCCGAATAAACAGACGTTTCATCCTTGCTATAGCGATATACCGACTCGCGAAAGCTAGGTTAATTGCTGATCCAAAGACGTAATCGAGGAGAGATTTGACACGCGTAAATAGTTAATAATTAAAAATAAAATAGTAAAGATAGTAATTGATGATAACAAAATGCTGTTTTTATTAATTTTATGATTAACATAAATTATGTGCCGTCAATCCTTTATTATTATTAGAAATTTAATAGTGGATTTAATAGAGATTATTTATTTTGAATATTAAAAGCATTGAATAATATTGTTTTTAATACTCAAAATAAATAATTTTCAGTATTAAATTTCTAAAAAATAAGAGATATCTAGGAATGATGGATATAATGGATTGATATATTTTTCTTCTTAGGATGAATTATATTTGCGAAAGATATAAACTGACATATGGAATATAAGCAAATTTAAATGCTAATGTAATAATTAAGGAATAATTATTTCAACAAAATTTCTATGATATATTTTAGAACTGAATTTCATTTTGAAATGTTCCTCAGGTGTCATCAGAGGACAAATTTTCAAAGATGGTCTGTTCTACATGTATCAAGAGACTGGAGGGTGTCCATCGCTTTGCAATGATGGCATACCGTACCCAGGAGAAGTTAAGGTTGCAGCTTTATGGTAACATTGACAATACAAATCCTATACAAGATGTCGAAATGCAGAATATTAAAGGAATGCAAGATACTACAAAGAAGACAGAAGATCGAGGGCTGTTACATTCGATCTTGACCAAGGTATAAGGTTATAAATTACTTTTGTATATATATTACATTTTTATATGTGTAAAATATATATTATCATGTTCCATGCAGGGTGCAATAGAAATTTTAACTGAGGACGAACCATTGGGACCATCAGAGTCAAACTCTCAAGAGGACAAACATTGCACTCCGAGTATGGAGGAAATGGAGGTGAAAGTGGATCCGATGCTATTTTTGCAATGCGGTATGGAACAATCTGCGTCTGAAGTTTCAGATTCTTCGGATAACGAGGAAGAAATAACAAGGACGCATACACCAGAGCCGTTATCTTTAACAAACAAGTAGGGATATTTAACAATGTGGATAGTATTAATAGCTGAGCATGTTTGGTTAATCTCTCTTATGTTCTTTTAGAAATATTGAAGCGGAAGAAGAAGAAGACGAAGAGAAAAAAGACGAAAGTGTATCTAAATCGCAACAGGACAGTGGGAAAACTATATCCAATGTATCAGCGAAACCACATGAATGTACAATATGTGCCAGATCTTTTATATCACAAATCGGTTTGCAAAATCACTTATGGTCGCATTTACCCAGAGAGAGAAGGTTCGATGGAAAGTCTATTTTGCAGTCTCAACATGTTTATTCTACGAATGGTGTGCTTCACACGAATAGTGATAACAATTCGTCCAGTAACTTCATCTGTCCAATCTGCAGTAAAAAGATTTCTACGAAAGGAAATTTGAAAGTGCATTTAGAGACTCACAGGCCTAAAGGAAAGTACGGCTGCGACATATGTGGAAGAATGTATGTTTGCATTATGCTATAATAATTTAATCATAATATTTAAATTTAATATTTAATTACATTACTACTTGAAATATCATCATTACTAAAAATTTTTGTGAAATAATTTTTTAATTTGCTTGTATCTATATTTAAAAAATATTAATATCTTAATATTGAATTTTTATATCACATTTGTTTGAGGAAATTACAAATATCGCTAATCGCAAATATCTAAAGAAAATTTGATTCCTTACAGTTTTAAAACCCAATCGAATCTGTTCAGACACAAGGAGTATCACGGCGGCGTACAGTTTCCATGTAATGTATGCGGGAGAGTGTATCCAACGAATTCGACGTTACGTGCCCACAGCATAACGCATTCGGATTTGAGACCGCATGCATGCCCGCTCTGTGATAAGACATTCAAGCGAAATCAGGATTTGAAATTCCACATAAATCAGCACACAGGTGCGAGGCCTTATCAGTGTCCTTACTGTCCGAAAGCTTTTGCGAGCTCCGGCAACTGTTTTTCACATCGTAAAAGAATGCATCCCCGGGAAGTCCATCGAGATCGACAGAGGGCGGCGGATCTAATGAGATGAACCATGGGCAGTCAATATGAAGACTGGTCTTAGAATTTCAGATAAATGTTCTGCCGAGGTGATCGTATATTGGCCATGTATTAGTATCTGTCGTTAACGTAAACTTTATTTCCAGAAGTTAACGGTGCTAAGGTACGAAAATGAGAATTTTGTATGTTTTATTGTTCTTAAATTATTTATACACATTTAGTGTTAAGTATGTTGTTGTTGGTATTATATATTTTGTTAGTTATTTATTGGATACATGTCCTTCTACTGTCTGATAGAAGATGTTCCATGACACAAGATATTGGTCAACTTCCATTAGTTAGTAAATTTAGCGTTGAAGCTTTACTATAATAAATAGTAAAGAAAGTAAGTTTAAAATTTCATAGCCAGATTTAAGTATTGATACGTCTAAGCTTATTTTTTTATGCCTATTGATGCAATTTATATACATTATTTTAACGATAGGAAGTAATGATTGTTAAATGTTTCTAGGGATATAATCTGATTGTATTATCATAAATATATCGTTTTTTTTTAACTAGTTGACATGTTTAAATTTAACAGATTTTGTTATATATTTACTTTTGTGATAAAAATGTCTACACTGCCATTTTTGCGCATACTTCTCCATTTTTGTTTTATTTTTCTCTGACATTGTTAAAATGGTATTAATGTAAACAATAATTATTATAATTTCTAATGTATTTCTATAAAATGTATAACAAGATATATTGTAAAGCTTTATACTCTACATGCGTATATGACATTATCTTGACAACTCTGTGATAATTATATTAGTACTGGTCGTTTTATACTGGTTATGAAATTTACAACTTACCGGCTGATATAGTAGGGATATTATTCTATGAGCGTATAGATTGTACACGATTGTAGCATTATTCAAATGGTGACGAAGATTCTAAAGAAAAACACATTATTTTATTCATAGTGATCAAGAAATTAATCCACAGGGAACTTTGTATGGGACGTATATATCGACCAAAAAACGAAAAAAAAAATTTGTGGAAATAGGAAGAAAAAATAAAGACTTTTGTAGTCTGTGACATATTTTTAGCACAATACAAACATCATCGTAAATGTTAAGACTGTATACGAAAATTACGTGTCAAATTAGATAGTAATCTTAAGAATGTGGACAAGACCGAATGTTACATGAAATAAATCTAGTCATCTAGCAGTATTAATAAGCAAGATATATAGGCGCTGTAGTCGACATTACAAATATGATCGTAACGTTATTCTTATAAGCGAAATATATGAGATAAATGTTAAACAGAAGTCTGAGTAGTTCTAGGAAGGCATAGTTAAGTTAGTTAATTAGCTAGGTAGTTCATGTAACGTGTAGATAATAGTCCGTGCTTCCGTATAATGCATACATTCGCACACGCGTTAAAATACTGCAAAAAGCGCAAATAGAGAGCATTACAGGCTGAAAAAGAAATGAGTACACTTACAACAGTCATTACACAAAACAATAAATAGCTCATACGTATCGCAGAGGCAAAGAAAACAGAAAAGTTATGTATAACCACTTGTATTAATACAGCATTATTAGCTCCTAGAGATACAAGCGTGTATTTTGCGATTACGTTTTTTCCGGACCGCGCTTGCCGACATATATATACATACACTTATATAGAAATAAATAGGCAACAATAAATAGTGATTATATATATATAAATATATATATATATATATATACAAAAATAATCAATTTTTGATAAAGAAAGAGCATCCGAGGTAATCAATGCTCGCGGCTCAATCGTCGTCATTCTTGCATTTTAGACCTTAGAGAATCAAAAATTGAGTATTTTTCTAAAACCGACACGCCAAAGACAGTCCTAGCAATCGAGACTAGTAATTAACAATAATTCAGAAGTGCCAGTTGTAACGCAGAAAATTAACATAGCATATATAGCAGCGGACAAATACCATGGAGGATCATTTTGTAGAATTAGTGCAAATACATCATCCATAACATATACATGAATAAATTTATTGTATAAAATTAATTGAACATCCTGTATTCACGTTCACACGGAAAGAAATATGTTATTGAACTGTGCGTATGTTGTGTTATCGATGATCATGTAATTGCGAATAAAAACAACGCAATTTCAAATAATTACATCATTGATGAAAAGAGTTTTTATCGATGCGCATAAATAAATAGATAAAATGCGATAATACGATCATGGACATATTTTTAAAAAATTTTTATGATTTTATTTCTGAGCTGTAGTAATATTCATAGTTTTAAAATATTTCAAACAGATGGATATCAAATTTTTAAGTAAAACTAAATTCCTCAAGACAACTTTTTATTTCATTCAATGCATGGTGTATAAAACATATTTTATTAATTATTATTAGATTTTACTACTAGAAATTACTACTATTAGATTTATTTATCTATAATCTTATTTCGAAAGATTAATTTTATTAATTGTTAAATAAATTTTTTTAAATATGGAATTATTAAAGAACCAGTTTAATTAAGAAAATTCATAAACATAGAAATATATTATTTTTAACTGTATTTTAAATTCTATTTTTTTTTATTTCAAGTTTTAGTTTGTAGATGTCCATCTTTGATTTAAAAAGATTAACATCAAATGATAATAGATATTACAAATAATAGATATCTTCTAATATCGTAATCAATAATCAGAAAATTGTAAAATGACATACAACACAAGACAACACAACGGATAAATTTTTAAATATTTCCCTCTTTCCTTTTCCAACAAAGATAATAAAGAATTCGAAATATAATATTAAGCTTATGATATCACATAATATCGCACGTGGAGATACATATGAAGATTTTATTTTGCTCGGAATTAGAAATTTAACAATTATTTACGACAAAGAATCCTAATCAACAAATTTAATAACTATAGTAACTTAATAACTATTAATGGAATTCTAGTAACATTCCTCTGAATTGATCAGAAAATCGCACTCATCATTAGCATTAATGGAAGCAATCCCACTTTTATCCATAATTTATGCCTGTATTCTTTCATAATATCTGAGAAGTGCATTATATCTCGTTTGCGTCTAATTGTATCTAATTTGCTTAATTTGTAATTTATTAACATTCTATTCCTTTAATATCATTGAATATGTGACATTTCAGAGGTTTATCTTATTTAGTATTTCTTTATCAGTATTTTTTTTATTATGTTTTTGTATGATTTTTAAAATGATACACTAAATTTACATTTATTTATACAAGTTATTGTAGAATTCGTAAACATAAAATACACAATGCGAGTTTTTGTGCCAAAAGAAATAATATTTCTCTCTTCAAGACTGTTTCTATGAGCTGTACTTTTGAAACGAGGATAATTTTAACAAATAACTGTTCTAAATTTTAAATGTTTTTGCTATGAACACTTTTCACAATTTCTCTAAAGATTTCACAAAACTATATTTAATAATACTAAACTATATAACTATATAACTTACTAAAACTATACTTAAATATCGCTTGGAATATATTTTGCTTCGGAAAATTTTTTAACTGACATGATTTGAGACTAAAAGTAGATAAGATAATATATGGATAGTGATCTATATTCATAAGACAGTCCTATCCGCAGAATAAGTATAAAACTAGGTCATTCGAGCATACAGAAAGTGCATTTTAAAATATTTATTCAACTATTTGTAAATATTTCAAAAATATCTATAAATATTTCTTTATAGCGGATAAAATAACATTTTGTATCTAATCTAATTTATTTATTTTAATTTTAGCTTCAAACAGATATTAGAAAGTTTTCTTTTATAGAATACGTTGTATTTTAAACAGCAATATTATGATATGGTGCTTAAAAAATCTTTAAAGAAATAAGACAGTACGTCATCTTTGATTTTTGTAGCTTCATTAGCTTTAAATTGCTCTCATTTAAAAATTATAACTTAAAAGAGAAATTTTGAGACCAAAGGAAAAAATTGTTCTTTCAGAAAATACCAACAAATAACGCAAAATGTATAAATGAAGTAATGCCAATTAGCATAAGAATTGATAGGCAACGATGTTCGCTTGTTAATTTGTTTTAACTTGTCGATAACAGAAGACACAACGATGACTTGTGACTTGATGTGATTTATTTGATTGACATTATTTGATCGCAGACACTTAATGGCGGCGCATAATAAATAATAAATGCTGTAATCGCTGTGGAAAATTAAACGCGAAAAGACGCAATACAGATATCTCTCGTCAAGATATTTACAAGATATTTGCGCTTAGCAAAACGATACAACATCCGGCGTAATCTCGAATAAAGTTGTAGAAATAAAGAATAACAAATAAGATACGGTGCGGTATATCTTCTTACAGATCCTACGCAGTATTTGAATCAACATTGCTATTCGCGGAATTACGCAGTACACATCGAGAGATATATTGATCATGACGATTCAGAATCTTTACAGTGTTACTATTGGTTACCAGTAAACAATACAGTCAGAGAAGGAACTTGATGTATATGCTCGTTCACACACATGTAAGATTATGTGCGCATTGCGGGTATAAATTAAATAGGAACGAGATAATCGAGTTCGTCGCAGTTTTCATTTTTCATACAGATACTGCGACGTTTCTTTATTAATAGCCGTCTTATTATTGGAGTGGAGCATTAAATTTTCTATTTAATTTACTGCTATAATAAAAACTAATTACTACTATCATACTTTAATATTGTTAAAATATAACTGCTTTATCATAATAATGTGTTACTTACATTATTATAATAATGTTTTGATATTCATAATTCATCCTTATTTTAAAACTATTCTTTTGTTCTTTAACTTTTTCTCTCTATGAAAATAAGAAGAGATTATTATTCCTTGGAATCAAGAAAGGATGGAACAGATTTGCGTCCTAAAAGTAATGTCTGTCGGACATATGACAAAATCGAAGATGAATAATACGAAATGACAACAGAGCCAGTTAAAAGTTCAACGAGGATCAACAACTCGACGAGAATCGATATATTACTTAATATCATCTACATCATTGTTACGTTATATTGGCAATTTCGAGAAATCTTTGTTAGCTTGATTGCTCACAATTTTAAGTTGTTAGAGTTTAAACGTTAAAGTTGTTAGTATTTAAAGTCGTGATGGATCAACGACATCCAGTACTAAGAAATGAATTTATGTTTGATATGTAATATATCGTATCTTTTATATACAAATGATAAGATAATTATGTATACATATTCGTCTAAGAATATCTCAGTAGATAAGATGAATTTCCATTTAACAACAAGCAATTAAAAATATAAAACGTGATATATAAAAATCTAAACCACATAAAATATTATTTTTCATGAACTGTTTTAAATAAAGTGTTTTGATATACTTTTTATCTAGATACGCTGGATACTACAAATATCGTAAGTAAACAACAAACAATAATTATTTTGATAAATAAATTATAAATGTAAATTCCTTGTAAAATGTAACCATAATGCTTAATATAATCCATTCTACGATAAATAAAAAAGAAACACAACTTTTATTCTGATAGTTAAAGTTATAGAAAATGCTATCTAACTCAGCTTAGAATATATTTTAAATATTTCATAATTTCAAAACTGTGTAGTGTTGTGTGTGTGTGTGTGTGTGTGTGTGTG